ACATAGGACTGCAAAGTCTCATAAAGCAAGGAAAGAGCTCAGAGATCTTCTACTAAACTGTAGAGGGTACATACGAGCATCCGATACATACATGTGTCTGTGCACCTGCCTCGTACACTTTTTCCATACAAATGGCTCATACGGAACATATCATTCTATAACCATATTTTTCGCTTGAAAGTGTATCTTAGAGCCAGGTGATAGAGCAGCAGTAACAGATGGACCCACGGGGGAAAGGGCCTGGATTTGCAGCCTGGGACCTCCCTGAGCATGCCAGGCATGTGTGCACAAGCCCTTGAGGGAGCCAGTGACAGTGGGAGTGGGATCTTGGTGGGGGAATCTCGTGGGAGGTGACCCCCTCTTTCTCTCTCTTCCTCTCTCATGGCAGAAAGGGATGAATATCCTTTTTATAAAAAGTATGTCTTAGACATTTATTCATGTCATCACATATAGTTCTGCTTAGTTCTTTGTAACAGCCTCATAGTGTCTACTGGGTGAAAGAGCCCTGCTTTATTGCACTAGATCCTATTGATGGACATTGCGTTGTTTCTATTTGTTTGCCATTATAAATAATTCTGTAATTACCTCATATATAGAGATGTCATTGCGCATCTCTGAACATATCTACGGGATATTCTTAAAAGTTTACGTAAAAGTTCTGAGTCAAGAAGATAGGCATGTGCATTGAGATGTTTGATAGTTATTGACAAATTTCCCTCCCAAAGAGATTGAACCGGTATATATTCTTATGACAGTACATGAAAATATGTTTTCCCTAACCTCTCCAACAGTAAACCTTCATCTTTGATGAACTAATTTTGCCTTTCTAACTGTCTCATGATCATTTTAATTTGCAGTTTTAAAATCCTAAGTCAGCTGCACCTCTTTTCATATACTGGTGGGCATCTGCATTCCCCCAGTAAACCACCTCTTTGCATTCTTTGCTTTTTTTTTTACTATTTTTTTCTTATTCATTGCCAAAAACTATATATTGCAGAAATTAACTTTTTATCACCCATGTTCCACTTTTTTAAAAAAATTTTGCTCTTTGTCTTTTGGATATTTGAATTTATATTTTTATCAGTTATTTATATTATCTTTTTTTGTCTTTTTGTATTTGGAATATATTTTGAAAAGTCTTCTCTAACGTTATACACATTTTCCTTTCATTTTTATTCCTAATTTTATTATGGTTTCTTTTTTACATTGAAAGTTTTTAATCAACCTGGAATTGATTTTTTTTTTTTAAGATTTTTGCCACAGGGCACATGTGCTCAACAGAAAGAGACATAGAGTCAGAAAGGGAAATGAAAAGTCGCCCCCAAGGAGAGGGATGGTCATGCCACAATTCTGTCATTTTTTTCTTAGGACTTTGGGCACATATACATGCACCTAATGTATTTTCCAAGCTGCTGAGTCCAAGATTCGAACTACAGAGTTAGCCAGGTGGGATCCAGTGCCTTAACCACCATGCCACCTGCTGGACCTGGAACTGATTTTTATATAAAGAATGAGTTAGGGGTCCAACAGGTTCAACTGTCCCAATACCGTTAACTGAATGATCTTTTCTTCACTAAGTTGAAATGTTGCCTTTGCGAATACCTGTGTATATTTGAATCTACTTCTGAACTATCTATGCTGTTCCATTTATCTGTTCGTTGTAGTTTCTGTAGCAAAGAGTTTTCGTTATTGCAGTTTTATCACATGCTCCTAAATGTGCTGGGACTTTTATTGATTTCTCTGTTTTATCATTTTTCTAGTTATCCTTCAAGTGTCTAGTATTTAGCATCATTTTGACACATTCCCCCCAAAGTTTTTCGCTGGTATTCTGATTGGATTGTTTGAATGAATGGATTACTTAGGGAGGATTGACATCTTTATGATATTCAGTCTTTTTTAGAATAAACTACATCTAGAACAAACTACATCTCTCTATTTATTCTTTTATGTCCCTGAGAAGAATTTAAAAGTTAAGTTCAATCCTCTTTTCTTCTATTTTTAGCCATTGGCTACTTACAAGAAAGCTAATGATTGTGTTGCTCATTAGAATATTTCTAATATTTTTAAATTAAATATTCTGACTCTGGTCAGGGTATAGATATATATATACATATATATATATATTTTTTTCCCCCTGGTCTGTAACGTGACTTTAAAAAGGTTAAGTCAAAATGCAAACGGGTTTTTGGTCTAGTTTACCTGAAAACCCCATCCATTCTCCAACTTTCAGCCTAGGACACTAAAACCTTCAAATCCCAGGATACCTACCCAACTGGTTCATTGCACAAACCTTCTAGATCAGTGGTGTTCAACTCAAATTTCTTTCCAAATAGGCTTGAGAAATAAATGAGGGAGTGGCTGAGTGGGACCATGGGTGCTTGTGTTGAGGGGCTGTTACTACTGAACCCTAATTACCATGACCATGTGGGAATGTACCCCAGCATAGCTAGATTTTCTGATTTTTTTTTCAAAGGAAGCCAGAAATGCAGATTTTCATTGTTTAAATGTTGACCTAATTTTTTGAAAAGTCTTATGCAGGCCCAACGAAACATATGTGTGGGCTAGATTAGGCCTTTGGCCAGCCGGTCAGCAGTTTACACTTCTGCAGGCACAAGTGTCAGAAGGGTGATCACAGCCTCAACATCCACTGGAAGATTTTCCACCTAACAAGCTTGTGTGCAAAAAATGATGTACTGTCTTCTTGGGACTGCCCAAACCCAGCCTCCCATGAACCACAGTCCCAGTAACAAACCCTACCTCTGCAGAGCAGTCCCTTCCAGGATCTTATTTGATTATCATAAAGACCTAGAGAACCCAGGACCATTTTCTGGATGGGAAAACCAAAGCTCAGTGATGTGTCCAAGTGGCAGCGCTGGGTTCACCCCAGATTATCCGGGGCAGGGACCAGCAGTGCAGGCCTGGTGTTCACCTGCAGCTCCACTGCTCCATAGCTGGAATCTCAGGCAAGCTGCTTAACACCCCAAGCCTCAGTTTCTTCGTTTGTGAAATGGGCGTGACAATAATAGTTCTGCCTCCCAGGGGATCCTCTGAGGGCAACAAGAGTTCACCAAGCAGAGTGGAGTGCCTGATACTCAGTAAGTACTCAGTCCTGTTGGTTATTACACAGTTAGCTAGTCCAGCCTTTTCCCATTCAACGACTCCCACCTCCCCATGTCATTTGTAGCTTCCTGGAAAGAGTAAGGACCCAGGATCTAGGAGTCTACGGGTTTTTCCCCATACCTCCTGTATCGTGCACCTCCCTGCACCTCCCTGAGACTTGGTTTCTGCCTCTATAAAATGGGGTACCTTCAGAGGTCAAATCACAGATCTTGTGTCACCACGGAGAGGTTCCCACTGGACACCTGGGATGTCAGTACACGCTCTTTCTCTGGCCATAGCTCCCTGCCTCCCCACCACCCCCAGCCCCACTCCGTGCAGGCTCAGCTGCACTGCAGGCTCTTGGCCTGTCTCGAATGGGTAAGGGGGCAAGTCACTCTTGCCCCTTAACTGACCCCCCATGGCATCCCCAGGTCTGAGAATGGGGCCCCAGCTGCTTCTGCCCGAGGCCAGCTGCTTCTGAGCTGTCCGCCCAGGTCTCAGAGCTGGCCTCTCCCTCCGTCACTTGCTGCTGGCCCTGTGTTACTCTGGGACTGAGACCTTGTCTTATCCACCTCCACCCCAAAGCGCCAACCTGCGTCTAAGCCAGCATCCCCGATGCAGCCACAGCCCTTGGCTCTGTATCCTGTTACCAACCTATACAGCCATCTTGCCACCTCAGGCTGGACCCCAAGGCTGCAGCCCAAGTGCAGTCCGCCAGCCCGACATCTCCTTGCACGGTATCCGAGAGCCTCCTGCCTGCCAGGCCAGACAACCTCCCAGATCGGTGGCTGTCTGTCCCTCTGTTATCCCAGAGCTGCTAGAGTGAGGGTGACTGCTTGTCCCAGCCCTCTTCACCCAGTCTTTCTGCAGAAAGCCCCAGAGAGACCAGCCACCGCAAGAGGGCTCCACGAGGAGTAATAATAGCCACATCTACTGGGTACCTCGTAGCAGACCAGAGTCTAAAGGGTATGAAGGAGCCATTAATCCTCATGAAAGCCCTGCCGGGTGGTGATGGCACTGTTCCCATTTTATAGATCAAAAGACCACAGCCCAGACTTCTTCTATGACTTATCCAAGATTGCACAGCCAGAAAACGGCAAGAGCACCTGCAGGGCCCACACTGCTATTTGGGTTTTTGTGTTTTTTAATGACAGCATGTGTACATGAAGAGAGAGAGACAGGAAGAAAAGCACTCTCACCAAGGCCTCCTCACACCAAGATCCCCTCTTCCCTGCCCTCCAGCTCCCAGGACCCTAGGCACCCACACATTCACCCAGCGTGTTTCCAGCCAACCTGAGGATCTAAACCATAATCAGCTATGTGACTTCCTGCCTCACACGGCACTGGGTTGCCGCTGTGCCACGGCAGCTAGGCCCAGGGCCACACCTTAATCTTTACACTGACAGCCAATGAGGATGGCTCTGCGCCTTCCAGAAAGGCAGGTACTCAGCACACACTGACCTTCCAGCCTGAGCCTCCTGCCCTCCTGGACTGAGCCTCTGCAGGAAATCTGAACTGCCAACAACCTGCAAGGAGTCCCACTCCTTGGAGCTGGTGCCACCAAGGCTTCTTTTTCTCCTGAGAGGGATAAATCCCAGACCTTGAATACTCGGCCCCACTCACAGGGGAGCCTTCTGACGTGAGGCTTCCCTGTCCCCCAACTCCACCAGCCCGCAGGCTATTTGGCATTTGTTCTCCTCTGGCTTTGTCGGAACAATATACAGCCACGTCTCCTCACAGCCACAACCCCGGCCCCAGCAGTCTCCCACCTGACCCATTCCATGACCTTGTACCTCATTAAAACAAAAATGGCCAGTCATGTCCAAGAAGCCATTCGTCCCACCATGCACGCATCTTCTCTCTCTCTCTCCCTCCCCCACATCAGCCCCCATGTCCCTCACCTGTCACGATGGGGTAGGATTGCGGGCCAGGCACGCTGCTCCCAATGTCGGCGGGGGTGGGGCTGGCCAGGTTGGCCTTCATGTCATCCAGCCCCCCAGCCAGTGAGGCCATGGCTGAGTACTCGGTGGTCTGAAAGAGGAAAAAGAGATATCTCAGAAACGAGATAGCGAAGCACCCTAGTCAAATGCTACCACCACTTTCTGAGCTCAGCCATCAAGCTGGTCTCGTCCATGCCTGTGCCAAGGCCCTCGGGGGACTCATGAACCTCCCTCCATGTTGAAAGGGCAGATTCAACTTGACAGAATAAGACAACTGTCCAGAACTGACACTTGTCCCCAGGTGCAGAGGCAGGCGGGATTCAGTGCAGGGGCTCAGGAATTCAAACCTAGATCCCCTTGTGCCCTGGAGCTCCCCCTCGCCCAGTTCCATCAGCCAGAGACGACCACCACCTCTGCTGAGAAAGAGACTACAGTAAGCAAGACAGAAATAAATCTTGCCAAGAACATGGAACAAACAATTTCTGAGTTCCGTGCTCTTAAACTGCAGGAGTAGAATCACAGAAATAAGGGTTAAAAGGAAGCTGGAGGAGCCAGCCAGTTGGCACGGTGGTTGGGGTGCCTGAATTCCAGTTTGAGTTCTGGACCTGGTGGCTTGAAAAACACCAGGTGCATGTGCGTGCATGGCCAACATTTCTAGAAGAGAATAGGGGAGAAGAGGTTGTGGCATGGTCATCCCACTGGGACTGGGGGGGTGGGGTGATTTCCCATTTCTCTCCCCGCCCCAGTGAGCACATGTGCCCTATAGCAAATTAAATTTTTTTAAAAAAATAGATAAATAAATAAATAAATAAATCTAGGAAATCATTCGGTCAAACCCTTGTTTCATAGATGAGCAAACTGAGGCCTGAGGGAAGAAGGGCTCTGCTCATGGTGGGCAGGGCAGAATCCTGGTCCGGCAGTGGGTCACCATCGACTCTCGCCTCATCCGATACAGCAGACCCACCCAGCCACAGTTCGGAAGTGTGTCTGAATCCCAGGAGCACTAAACACCTGCATGCCACACCCTGTGGGGTGCGTATGTCTGCTTGACCAAGTCTACACCAACCACACACTCCTGGCCTGTGGATTGCACTCCTTTCTTTAAGCCATTGTATGAAGTCGGAGCTTGTGATGAGTCATCACCTTGCCATCGGAGCCATTGTTAGAACGGTCTCCAGAGAAGGCAGCGAAGATGACAACCTGGATCTTCCCATTCAAGGACAGACTAACATGAAGGGTCTTTGAAACAATCATAGGAAATGCCTATTATAAAAAAGCTATGCCTGGCTTTCACATTTTTAACACCAAAATATATTCTTATTTTAATTTCATTTTTTTCCATGAACTTATTGACATCCCCTCATAAGCATGAGAGAAATGTCTTTTCTTCCTGGGCCTACTTTTAGGTAAAGCGAAGATCTGTAAACACTTAAGCCAAAGAATTGGGTGGCGCATATGCCAAGCTTCGCATGGGGTGTTTCCCACAGGAAGCTGGCATTGCCGTGGAGGACACATCACTGTCTGTCCAGGGCTGTGCTTTCATCAACCCCCTGCAGGGCCAGGCAAGCAAGCAGTCTTCTGGAAGGAGTTCCGGGCACCCTGGGTGGGATGACAAGGACTAAGTCTCTAGGAAGGAAACCAAAGAAACCTTGGCGAGTGGCAGGCAAAATGGACTTGGGCTCAGACATATTCCTGGTGTTTTTCTCTGCAAATCAATCAGAGAGCAATTCCTGGGCAGCCTAAATGCCAACCAGGGATGGCAGAGGCAACAAGTCCAGGAGGTACATACAGCAGGCCGGGGCAATGGAGAGGACTCTCACTGAGGTCAGCTCATCAGAGTTCCCTGGGGCTCTTCCATTGTATTCCAGGAGAAGCCCAAAGCCAGCCCAAGGGTCTGTAGGGCAGGGGCTGGGCCTGGCAGACAGCAGGAATCACTACGAAGCTACAGTAATTAAGACAGTGTGGTATTGGCACCAGGATAGATAAATAGACCACTGGAACAGAATCGAGTCCAGAAACTGATCCGTGCACATATGGAACCTTGATATACGAGCGAGGCGACGTACAAATCAGCGGGAAAGGATGGACCCTTAATAAACAGTCAGCAGGAAAGGATGGACCCTTAATAAACAGTGTGGGGTAACTGGTTATCCATTCAGAAACAGGGGAAAAATGAAATTGGATCTTTGCACCAGACACAAAAATCAATCCCAGGTGGATTAGAGACCTAAATGTGGAAGCAAAGGCATCTAATGTGGTGAGCTCTAGGTCCGGCCCCAAACCCTTGGAATAAGGATTCGTGGAAGAGGGATGAGTGCCTTTTCCACCCTGGGATGCTCACAGGGTTCCCAGGAATTGTGAGGACATAATGGGTCCCAGTCGTCCCGCCGCTCTGCCTTGGTGCTTCCTCTTCCTGGAAGTCTTCCCTGCCTACAATTCCCCAAGAAGAATGAGTCCCACCTTCACTCTGCTGGCCCTGGCAAGTGGTATAACAACTATAATCTTTGCAGACATATCGGAAGCTCACACTTACCGAGCACTGGCTCTGTGCCAGCAACTTCACCTGTTCTATCCCATTTAGTCTTCAGTCACCCCACGTTATCCCCATTTCACAGATGAAGAAACTGAGACTTCCCTTACAGAGCAGAAGTAACTTGCCTAAGGTCACACGGCATCTAGCTGCCAGAACCAGGATTTGAACTTGGGTCCTTCTGACTCCAATAGCATCTCAAATATCCTAGTGATTTTCATACTGTGAGTCCTGACCCATTAAAGGGTAATGAACTCAATTTGCTGGTCCCAGTGATTTTTTTTTTTTTTCTTAATGAAATTAGAATGGAGTAGATCAAAAATTGGTCAGGTCTCACACACATAAAGGGTAGGTCCTGTTTTGTGAATCTGCTTCGCTTCTCAGTGGGTATGTGTACACTGAGTGGAAATGATACATCGATAGTTCTTGCTTAGGCCACAACCAGCACAGTTTGCAAAGCACTGTCTTCATTCCATGCAGCCAGGAGCGCTGGGTAAAGGTCATGGTCTTCTCAAGTTCAAGTCCTGCAGGATGGGACTTGGTCACAGCACTAGTTTCCTGGGAAGCCACTCCTTCAGTGCCTTACTGTGTGCAAAGATGAGAGGCCACGATGCCTCCAGGAAGTCTCTTCCCAGATGGTGACTTCTAGAGTCAGGGATCCTGAGAGTAGGTCCCCGTCCTCTTCCCTCTGTGTGCTCCTGAACGTCCCCAAGCAAGAGTTGAGCATACAGGGTACATTCATTCAACCTCTTTGTCCCCTGCTGTGTGCAAAATGGTATGTGGAGACCAGAGACGTTCTTTGACCATCATCCACAAACCCCAAGAGAAAAGACGCATGGCCTCAGAAATTCAATCAAAGAGCCACAAAAGCACAGAGCTGCTGATTTCCATGGTAGGGATGGGGCAGGGGGGACGGGATGGGGGGAATGGGCAGAGAAGGTTTCTTGGGGTAGGCTTTTCTTTTCTTTTTTTTTTTAAGAATTATTTTATTTAATCTTATTTATTTATTTATGTATTTATTTTAATTTGACCAGAGAGGGACAGAGAGAGAGAGAGAGATAGAAAGTGAGAAAGCAAGCCACCAGGTCCAAGGTTCGAACCCAAGTCAGCCATGTGGGAGTCTAGCACGTTTAACCACCACACCACCTGCTGGCCTGTGACTGAGCCATCCCTGAGCCCCAAGTCAGAGAACAGCTGAAGGAAGGCTAAAGACAAGATGGCAGGGGTGACCAGGAACAGGGCACGTGCAATGTGCTGAGGGAGCGAACAAGTAAAGGGTAAAGGCGGAAGGGGAGACAAGCTGGAACTTGACTGTGAGCGCTTGCAAATGACCAGATGGATGAACACACGAACGAGCGAGTCTTCAGAGAGCCCCACAGCATT